CATCACAGATTCAGCCGAGCGAAGGTAATCAAAGAACGGGTTATTCTGCAGTTTAGTAGCAGTAACCGGAGGATTGTAAGAGGAAGATTCGGTTTCGAACCGTTTGGTGATTGAAATCAGTCGGGCAAGATTTGAAGACCGTGGGGTTGTTCAAAGGGTGTGCTGTAATCAGAGGTTTATTCATCGCGTTTGAAGGACTTGATTCAGTTTGAATCAAGGGAAGAGAAGGAATAGGCTCTGCATCAACAATTGGGTTTGATCGTTTGAATTCTATTGCTTCTCTTGTAAACATTTACCAACATGTTATATATATATATATATACAGGTCTCAATCCTATTTTTAGAATTGAGGGCAGGCGTACCCCGAGCGAGGACGACGGGGGAGTTGCCTCAATAAATTTGTGCTCTCTCTTTATTTTTTAATTGCTTAATTTCTGAGTTTGTGTGCAAAAAATTTAGTTAATCAAAATTCTGATGTGAGTAGTGCTGAACCATTTTTAGAAGCCTATTACAATCCTTGATTATAATTGAACACTAAGCACTTCACCCACATATTGGAATTCACTTGTAGTGCCTTGCACACCAAGTGTTTGACTAATTATGTGAACAACAAACGCTTGTGCTGTCTTTTCAATTTGGTTATATTTTTCAAGCATTGGAAATAGTCCAACCTCATAGTGAATAAATTATGGTTGACGTGTGTTTAAATTAGTGATTCTTAATCTCGTTTTTATCGAATTCCATAGGCTTTGCGTATATCCAATTTTTCGGTAAAGGTTCGTTTTAGACGAATATAGTTCCTCAGCCGCTTCCGTCTAAAAAATTTTTAAAACCAAATATTGGTAGCACCGACTCTATTTTTAACAAGTGATCTATTCAACCCCCATTCTAGATCTGCGCCATCATCTAACACATTAAAATCCTAGATCATTTAACAAATAGAGCAGCCATTGTAGTTCACAACTTGCAAAAGATAGTGCCCAATATTCAAAGAGCTACGAGAAACAATTTTTTGTTTATTAGCTCTCCATGAAATCAAGGAAGAATCAACAAAGAAACAATAATATGAAGTAGATCTCCCAGCATCTTAACATCTAGCCCAATCAACATTTGTAAATCCAATAAGTTGAAGATTTGAATCTCTTATGAATGATAACCCTCTCCCAAGTGAACCTTTAAATTATTTCACAATTCCGCAAGTTGTGTCATAATGTGTAATGGTTGATGATGCAAGGAATTGACTCAGATGCTGTGTCACAAAAGCAATGTCAGATCGGGTGGTTATGAGATAGAGCAATTTCCCAACCAATATTCTATAATAGAGTATGTCTTCAAAAGGTGAACTTGAGTCTTGATGTAATTTGACAGATGGATCAAGAGGAGTTTTGGTAACATTGGAACCAAGAAGGTCTGTGTATTTTAACAAATCTAAACAATACTTTCTTTGGCATATGCTAATTCTAACTTTAGAATGTGCAACCTCTATGCCTAGAAAATATTTCAGCTTTCTAAGATCTTTTAATTAAAATTTAGTGTCATGTATGACCTTCACCCTGTTGATTTCATCCATAGAATTTCCAGATAGGAGGATATCATCCACATACACTAACAAGGTAGTGAAATGTGAATTTGTATGAAGAGTGAACAGAGAATGGTCATAATTTTAATTTTTGTAGCCTTGAGTAAAGCTAAGCAATAACATGAAGTTACACGCTTACTTGGATTTCTTACTGGCTTGAATGGCTTGTTTGATATGGTTCGCTCTCTGGTTTTGTTAATGAATCCTTTACCTAACACCAACAATTTTTTTTTTATGGTGATGCAACATGAAGGACATATCAAAGTCTTGATTTATGATGAATCCAAGATTCTCATTAATGTTTTTTATTACAATAAGTCTCAAGACAGAGGGCATGGCAATGGTTTCTCATCCCTCGAAAATAAGAAAATATGCACACATTATAGAAAAAATGGACACACAGTTGATGTATATTATAAGAAGCATGGCTTTCCTCCTCATTTTTACCAAGGCAATGTTGCGGCTAATAATTCTTCACTTAAAGAAAAAGATGATGTTGATAGTTCAAAAAGTTATAAAGGAAATGATTCTTACACTTTCACCAAAGTTCAAAATGACCAGCTTGTAAATTTGCTGCATTCATCAAGCTCCCTTGGAAATTCAAGTGCATCCTTTAGCAAAGTAAACATGGCCTCTTATGCTAATCCTCATGTTATATCAGGTATCTCCAGAATTTTTCATTATTTGAATCATGTTAACGTTGGATCATGGATTGTGGAATCTAGTGCTACTGATCATATATGTTTATCCATGATTTTTTTTTATTCTAGTCAACATACGAAACCTATTAAAATTAGATTACCTAATGGTAATATGACAATGGAAAAATGATATGGGATTGTTTTTTTCTCACCAGGTTTCACAATTCACAATGTTCTGTTTGTACCTAACTTTAATTTGAATTTATTGTCAGTTCCAAAATTATGTTTTGATCTTATTGTGTAGTGATTTTTAATAATGCAAAGTGCTCAATTCAGGAAAAGAGAAGCTTGAGGATGATTGGTTCGACTGATTTAGTTGAAGGATTATATTATCTTCCCATCACACAAGCCTCACATTAATCCAACACCGCCACATCACAAGTTCCACCTCAATCTACCTTTATTTCTGAGACAACTCTATGGCATTTCAGACTAGGTCATTTATCAAATAGGAGAGTTAATAGTTTACACAAACTCATGTTTTTTGTAACTATAGACATTATGTTTGTGATATATTTCATTATATAAAGCACAGAAAAATTACTTTTCAACTTAATGAAAGTAAAGCTGCTCAATCTTATGAGTTGATCCATTTTGACATTTGGGGGCCTTTGTCTATTTCATTTATACATGACCGCAAATATTTCATAATTGCTTTTGATGATTACAACAGATTTATTTGTGTTATTCTTTGTAAAACAAAATATGAAGTTACTCATCTTGTTCAAAGATTCATACTTATGATTGAAAACCAATATAACAACAAACTTAAAATTGTTAGGACATATAATGTTCTTGAGTTTCTCATGCCTGAATTTTATTTTTTCAAATTAAGGCATTAAACATCAAGCTAGTTATGTTGAAACTCCCCAACAAAATGGAAGAGTTGAGAAAAAACATCAATTTATTTTAAATGTAGGAAGATCCTTACATTTTCAGTCTAAGTTATCTAAACACTTTTGGTCCTATGCGATTCTTCATGCTACCTACCTCATAAATCGCATATCTAGTCCTTTACTTCATGACAAATCACCATTTTTTCATATATTTTAAACTGAACCTCACTTATCTGAGTTAAAAGTTTTTGGATCCCTCTATTTTGCTATCACCTTACAAAACCATAGAACAAAACTGGATTCTAAAGCTAGAAAAAGTGTTTTCTGAGGATACAAACAAAATGTCAAAGGTGTTGTAATTTTTGACTTAAATACCAAATCCACCTTTGTTTCTATACATTTTATAAACATTGATCATGTTGTTCCTTATTCTAACCAAAACCTACCCTTCAATTGGACATATCATCATGATCATAATGTTGATATTGACTTTGTCATAATTCCTACTGCTACTGATCACCAAGCCACAATTCCTATTAACCAAACTGATATTGACCATACAATAATACTTGATGATGATACACTTCAACATGACATTATCTCTAGTGACGCTTCTCTTAAAACCATCATCACTGACATACCTCAACCTGAAACAATTCCCGAGCCACATATTTTGAGAAGATCCAATAGATCTACTCAACATCCTAGCCATTTATCAGATTGAATATGTAACCTTTCAAAGAAATAATTTGATCATCATTCTTCTGATATACTCTATCCTATTGAAAACTTTCATTCATTAAATCAGTTGTATACTGCACAACATCATTTTGCTTTGCCTATCGATGTGCTAGCTGTGCCAAATAGTTACAAAGAGGCAAGCAAGCATGAATGTTGGGTTAAACCCATGAACTATGAGCTAGAGGCTTTGAAGTTTAACAAAATTGGGTTTTTGTTGATCCTCCGCCACATGTCAAACCCATTGGAAGCAAATGGGTTTACAAAGTGAAACATAAAGTTAATGGATTCACAGATAGATACAAAATAAGACTTGTAGCTAAAGATTATAATCAAGTTGAAAGGCTTGATTTCTTTGACACATTTTCACCTGTGACAAAGATAACTACTGTCAAGACCTTGTTGGCATTAGTATCAATCAATATTTCATGATATCTACATTAGCTAGATGTAATAATTCCTTTCTACATGGAGACATATATGAGGATGTATACATGTCAAGTGCCACATGGTGTTACTAGCCTCAAACCAAACCAAGTGTGCAAATTGCTAAAATCCTTGTATGAATTAAGACAAACTAGCATGAAATGCTATGAGAAATTGACAAGTTTTTTTATTACTCAATCATAAAGTTTTTACAAATAATGATGAATATGAATGAAAACAGAGAAAAGAGATAGATGAAAACAAAATCTCATTTAATCATTTGATCAAATTAGTTATAACAAATAGTTATATAGAATCATAGGATCTTACCACCTTTAACTAACTGTAACAAATTTTAATTTAAGTGGGATATGATATATCAAAACTACTAAACTAAAGTATTCAGCTTTTGAAAGCATGCAACTTCTTAGTGCAACTTCTAAAAACTTCAGTTTTTAAAAGTTTGTGCAGCTTTAACAACTATTTCTCAAAGAAAGGGGGTAGAAAATAATAAAGGATTCTTTAATAATTTATTCTTAATAGCACTTATCCCCACCTCTTCATATAAACCTATTCCACCATATAGCATTATCATGTGCCCCATGTACTTTATTTTATATATATAATAACACCTCTCTAATAGTATTATTTTACCTAGGTTTCAGTTTCATTTCAAGTTTCAACAAAACATTTTGTTATTTCTTCTATAGTGGCATTGGAATGGAAGATAAGATGCAACCTGACCCCCCCAACAACACTCCAAACCAACGTGTTTCCGAGAAAAACGAACCGGTTAGGTCAAGGTGGACACCAAAACCAGAACAAATTCTCATACTTGAGTCCATCTTCAACAGTGGCATGGTGAATCCCCCCAAAGAAGAAACTATCAAAATAAGAAAACTTCTTGAGAAATTCGGCAACGTCGGCGACGCCAACGTCTTCTACTGGTTCCAAAACCGCCGCTCTAGATCTCGCCGCCGACAACGCCAGATGCAACAGGCTACACTTGATCAGCAAAAAAATCAGATGGTGATGATGCAACCACAGCAAGGTGTTAATAATGGTGCAAGTGCAATTCCTTGTGATAATTTTCAAACCAATTCAACCATGGTTTTTGGTGATGCTTCTGGTTCATCCTCTTCATCATGTGGTGGTGTTTTTGGTGGCCAACAAGGCATGGATGGTTTCTTTTCGGTTTCTTCTCAAATGGGTTTCCTTGGAGCTGATCAAAGTTTAGCTGCTTCATCAATTTTCAACACTCCTCTTTCTCCCAATTTGAATTATCACTCTGGTAAATAAGATCATCTTTGCATGTTTCTTATTTATTTTTCATTAAAATAATAATTGCTCAAAATTATCTAGATTTTCTACAAATCATTTGCCTAAAATAAGAAACTTGAAATCATTTTTTAACAAATAAAATTTATCAATTAGCACAAAAGATACTCAAACATATTACATCAAAGTATAGACCAATTTCCTTAAATTTTAAACTCATTAGAAACTGTTTATTATAGGCATGGATATTTTTCTCAATTTAAATTTTCATGAATTTCTTTTGATGAAAAAATGAATAAACATATTATTAAGAAAGGCACATCAAATGCAAGGTAAGAAAGAACCATCAATTTTATTATAATTTCACCTACGATAGATCAGTTAAACATCAATCTAAATCACCATGTGTATTCAAGAGTACTTAGATGAGATCGTAAGTATCTCTTCTAACTTGACTAGAGGTCTAGGACATGCATCAAATATTATATTTCGAAGAAGAAAATTTTGCGGTGATATTTACTAGCTTAAGATTACTCGATTTATATTGAAATTTTCAGTCAAATGTGTCAACCATAATCAATTATTTTTTGGACTTTGGCATCAAATATATATTTTATTAATTTGTTTAAGATTTTCTTGCTTGATTTCCAAATTCAATGCTACTAATTTCATTTAAATCATGAGGGTGTTATTATTAAATTAAAATGCTTTTTTGTATGTAAAAAAAGTTGATGTTTGTTTGTGGAGCAATTGATTAGGTTTGATGTTTGGCACAAAATAAAGTTGAAACTTTTTGTTGATTAGACAGTTCCGCGTTTGAATTGTTGCATGAAAGTTGTACTTTCCGGAAAAACATGAACACTACTTTCCGGCTGCAGTTTCTGTTCCTTCCTTTTCATTCTCTCACTTTTCTTCAATAGTAACACTCCTGCACCAACATTTCAAAACCCTAGATATATTATTTTTTCTCATTATTCACCATTTATTACTATTTTTTTGACCAATATATATTGTGATGTTCTAATATATTTTTTTATATTAAGGATATGGAGGTGCTAGTGCTGTTACAGGATTGATAACAGTGTTTATCAATGGAATAGCAACAGAAGTTCAAGCGGGGCCTATAGACATGAAAACAGTATTTGGAGAAAATGTCATGTTAGTTCATTCCTCTGGTGTGCCAGTTCCTACAAATGAACATGGTATTTTGATTCAGAATTTGCACCATGGTGAAAGCTACTTTCTGGTACTTTGCCACATACTATCATAGTTTCTGTTCCAAATATTGTCTTGTCACATCTTAATCCTTGTTCTGAATTTTGTTCATGAAAACGTTAATTTCAAAGTATTTGGGGAGTGGTGATAACATAGAATCAATAATGTACGGACACGTCAAACACGACTTTTATATAAACACGACGACACCGATAATAATATAAAAATAATAAATTAAACCTAATCATAAATATCAATATAAATATCTGAAGACACAGGCACAATTTATTCAGACATGTCAGTGTTTCATTAACATAACATAGAATTAGAAAAAGATAATTATGATTTGTAAATATTTTAACTTTAATTTGGTTTTATAGGTATCAAAGTCAAGACAAGTATGAAAGGAGGATGAGGCTATACTGCTGCGGTGGAAGCTTCCTATATGGTCTTTCTTTGGTTGATGTTCTTCTCTTTTTAGCAATTACCAATGTTGTAATTTCATGTGCGGTCAAAATAATAAAGATATCTGTTGTGTGATAATTTTTCAGTATCTATATATCTATCTTAGCAAATATATATTATGTATTATATATATATCTTGGTCTTAGTACAAAAACATGTACTTTGGAAAAGCAAGTTGTTCAATCAGTTTCTTGGATATGTTTATGATCTGAATATTTTAATTTTCTGATTAGTTTTTTATAAAGAATGCACCCATGGAGTATATGAGGTTTTTAAAGCTTAGTATAAGAAGTATTTCAATCTGTGTACAAGACTAAAGCAACGTATTTAAGTTATATGTTTTAGTAGGCTATCTATTATATCTGATCTACAATAAGAAATACTTTGGATATTTTTGTGTAATTTCTAAAATAAATATGATAATTTTTTAATTATTAATATTTTGTTCAATTAGAGATAAGATATCACATAATATTGAGATAATGTGTGAGAGAATAAGATTCAAAAAGAGGGAAGAACAAATAAGCAAATCAAATAACATAGATAATTGTCAATCTAATTTACTGCAATATCACATACATTTGGAGGGCATCAATCATATAAAAGAAAATTCACTGAGTTAGTAGTCAATAGTACACGACGGTCTCATTTGAACTCCTCACTACGCCAGAAATGAGTTTTAGCAGCGCATTAAAAGACAGCGTTGCTAAAGAGTCATGAAAAAAAAAAGAAAAAAATAGCATACCTAAGACAACGCTTGTTAAAAAAGCGCTGCTAAAAGGGGGGGGGGTGTCTAAGAAAGCGCTGCTAAAGGGGGGGGGGGGGGGTTCCTAAGGCAGACCTATAGCAGCGCTTTCTAAAAGTGCTGCTAAATGCCATGCAAAAGCGCTGCTATAGGTTTAAGTAGCATAAATTTAAAATACTCCAGTATTTTCGCAGAATCAGAACAATCTCCTTCTTTCTTCTTTCCACTCGCGAACGTTGCCCTATTCACCGTCAACGCATTTCATCCGTGCCTCCGTCCGTCGCCTTTCCTCCGGTCATTCCGTCGTCACCTCATTCTGCCGCCGTCCGTCCATTTTTGACGGTCATCTCCGTCCTCTACCAGCGCATTTCTACCATTTTAAGGTATTTGAAGTTTTTCATTTTTCATTTTTATTGTTCTCATAGTTGAATGCATTATTGGAGTTTGAAACTTTTAGTTGCTTTAGGTTGACCTCAAATGTAAATATGTTGTAGTTGAACTGATAAGATTTGAACTGATATCATATTTTGTTTTTAACATTCTCCATAACCATTCCATAACTATCTTACATTCTGTTTTTATACTGATAATATTTGAACTGATATCATATTCGAACAATTATAGAATTTTATAATGAAATTTCTAATACATCTTCTTCTTGAAATCATTCTCCATAACCATTCCTAAAACCTTCATTTCAACTGTCATCAAACCAACACCATGTAAACCTCTGCGATTTCGTGTTTTCGGTGTATATGTTATTGATATTAAATCTTTGTTTTGCAGCGTGTATATTTAAATCTTGAGAGATGAAGTGAACATGATTTGTATTTTTGTTTTGGTGTATATGCTTGTTAGCTTTTTATATGTTTAGTTAGAATTTCTCAATGTTTAGTTTTTGGTGAATATGATACGTTATTATAGTTTTATATGTTGATGGCTTGAGAGATGAAGTGAACATGATTTGTATTTTTGTTTTGGTGTATATGCTTGACAAGGTTGAGGGTGGATAGTCACAAAGAGAGTTATTGGCTAGCACATCATACCAAAAAAGAAGATACTAAAACACCATAAAGAATTGAATTTAATCAATAAAGACATTATGAATTTAAGTGGATTATCTAGTAGTAAGGGTGTCATTTTAAGTTTAAGGATATAATTCAATTTTTATTGATTTTTTATTATTATTTATATTTATTTTTAAATTCTGTAATTAAAAATCGGTTAATTATTAATATGATTTTAATAAAATTTATATTTTGTATGTTATAGGGGTTACCTTTGAAGAGCAAGGTTGTGATCGTTTCCAATAATCCTACTGTGTAGCTTTCTTAGAAGTTGGTTATTTCTTCACAGGTATTCGCTGTTTTTGTTTAGCTTTCTTAATTTAGTTTAGCCTACTTATTTAGTATGGATAGAAAATGGATGTCTTATAATCGATTGTCAAAAGAGTACGAGAATGGGGTATCAAAATTTATTAAGTTTGCTGTTGAACACGCCAAAGACCCCAGTAGGATCACATGTCCTTGCTTAGGTTGCTGTTATGAGCGTCGGAATGACGCAGTTCAGTTGGAATCTCATTTAATGAGACATGGAATTGATTGAAGTTATACATGTTGGACATTACATGGTGAAATAAGTAACGAGAATGTCGAACCGGGGGATAATACGACCTATGCTTCAAAGGACAATGACACGGATACATATGATTGTGATCGAGTCGAAGAGATTGCAGAAGCACTTGAAGAAGATCTTCAGGATTGTCCCAAGATGTTTGAGAGGTTGGTAAGCGATGCAGAGAAACTGTTGTATAAAGGTTGTACTACTTTCACAAGATTGTCAGCGGTATTAAAGTTGTACAACTTAAAGGCGGGAAATGGATGGTCGGATAAAAGTTTCACAGAGTTGTTAGCCCTACTACAAGAGATGTTTCCAGAGGATAATGTTCTTCCCAATCGAACCTATGAAGCTAAAAAAATGTTATGCTCTATTGACATGAGCTATGATAAGATACATGCTTGTCCAAATGATTGTATTTTGTTTCGAAACGAATATACATCATTAAACGAGTGTCCTAAATGCGGCAAAAGTCTTATGGTATTTTCCTATAATTCTGAGATTTAGACGCATGTTTCGTAGTGAAACAGATGAAAAACACTTGACTTGGCATGCAGATGATCGAATTATAGATGGGAAGTATCGACATCCGGCAAATTCACCACAGTGGATGAAAATTGATAATGAGTATCCTGGTTTTGGAAAAGAAGCTAGAAACCTTCGCTTGGCATTATCGACTGATGGAATGAATTCGCATGGTCTACAAAGTATCTCAAATTCCACCTGGCCTGTAATTATTATGATTTATAACCTACCTCCATGGCTATGTATGAAGCATAAGTACATGATGTTATCTATGTTAACTTCTGGCCCTAAACAACCAGGGAATGACATAGACGTATACCTGACACCTTTAGTCGAAGACTTAAAGAGTTTGTGAGAGAACGGTGTGGAGGTTTATGATGGATATAGGAAAGAAAGTTTCAATTTGAGGGCGATGTTATTTGGTACAATTAATGATTTTCTAGCATACGGAAATCTATCGGGGTATAACATTAAAGGTCAATGTGCGTGTCCTATCTGTGAAGAAAACACAGATTGGACGTGATTGGAATTTGGTCAGAAGAATGTCTTTCTTGGTTATCGTAGATTCTTAAATTCTAATCATCACTACCGTGGGTGGAGAAAAGCATTCAATGGAAATTCAGAACAAGGTAGAGCTCCGCCTACATTGACCGGGAACAAATTTTTGAAAAGGTAAAAGATGTGAGTACTCAGTTTGGAAAGCCTTTTGCTCATACGCTTGTCACGCGTGGGTGGAAGAAGAGGTCAATTTTGTTTGAGTTGATGTATTGGAAGTCGTTGTATGTAAGACATTTTCTTGATGTTATGCATATTGAAAAAAATGTATTTGAAAGTGTTATTGATACTGTTGCGGTGAGAATCGGGATACCAAGCTATTGATTAACTTGAATCTTTAATTCATTGAATTCACAACCGGACTTTAATTTATCCAAAGGAAAGGTCTAAAGAAAGAAAGAACCTTTTGCGCGATGTAACAACAACGCTAAGAGATTCGGGGATCGGGGGTTGGTTATGCATAGGGTAGGTATTTCACATCCTAAACATCTGTAATACTCTACAAGAACCTTTTGTTTGTTTGTATGCTAAGTTTGCTAAAGGTTTGCTATGGATTGGGATTGGGTAAAAGGTGTAGGTTAAGACCTAAGGATAGTTCTAAGTTTGCTCGCAAAGACATCACGTCCTCTGCCTACGTATCCTAACTAGGATAGAATCAGAGCAATCGTAGTTCACCTGGCGAGGGATAAACAACACCTGATTATGTTCAAGGTTCAGAGGGGAACAAACATTATAATGCTTGTGTAGAGTTTAAGAAAACTCTCTAGATCTAAGTTGAATACTCAAAGAAGGGAAGTAAGTAATCATCTCCATGATTCTTACATAGAGTTAACAAACTCTATCTTAAGTTTTAATTGAAAAGAACACTCCTAACAAAGGGTAAGCTTTTTAGACTTAAGCAATGTCCAATGGATAGGTTCTAACTTAACTAAGTGTACGGATGACTTAACAAAGTCAAGGGAGGGTAATAAGCTATCTATGACCCAAAGGTCAATAGAGAGACTTTCCTTTGGAAGGAGAAAAGAGGAGGCAACTTGGATGAGAACTAAAGAGTTCCATCACTTGGGGAAACTAAACTTAACAAAGGAAAAAAATCAAACAAACATGATGAACATAAGAGACATGGTTACAACCAAAACATGCAAGCGTATTACAATAAGCAAGCAAAGATTATGAGTAAAGCATATGGTTACGACCAAAGCATGCAAGCGTATTATCATAGGCAAGCAAAGATGAGTAAAGTATATGGTTACGACCAAAGCATGCAAGCGTATTACAATAGGCAAGCAAAGATGAGTTCTTACAAGACTTAATGAAAGGTAAGGAATTAAGCATATCTTGACAAAGGCGAAGGTAACAACCAATGCAAACAAGTACAACTTCATGGGGATGCAAATCAAATGAATCAAACATAATGCTCACTAGCAACAAGTAATTGTAATTACATACACAAGGGTTGACAAACATAGAACTCACATCACAACAACCAACTTAAGA